TCACTATTTTAAATGAGAAGCTGGTCATTTGAATAATTCATTGTTCTTTTACAACTTTTGTTGAGATGAGATTTAATGATAGTTAATCTTTCCTCAGCAAAACCTTGTAATATAATCATGGAAGATGAGATTTGATGATTTGTAATCTCACGCTATGAAACCCCCATCGGTCGGATTGATCAACGATCATCAGTATGTATCAGTCGACAGATTATTTCGTGTCAAATTCTTATGTTTAAAATCAAAATTTCCCACCGATTAGTTTGTGCAAATCAACAAACTCATTGTTATTTGCACCCTACTCCTATTCCTCACTTGGTCAAACCTTTAAACAGTTAGGACCAAAGCCAAAATCCCCTCTCGATTCCTTCCATGAACGAGAGGTCCATTCAAGTTGATCGATCAAACCTTTAAACAGTGAGGATCGTATCAAACTCCCACTTGGTCAAACCTTACTACAGTTAGGACCACAACCAAAATCTCCTTTCGATTCATTTTTGCGAACGAAAGGTTTACTTTTGAATTGAGTAATCAAACCTTATGACAGTTAGGGTTATTCAAACCAACCTATTTTCTCTAAGTGGAGATTCCACTGTGAGTTTCCTTTTCATCAGGAGATAGAATATAAAATTCTCCCTCTCCGATTCTGGGTTTATCTCTACCAACAAACAAGAGACCAGGAGATAGAATATAAAATTCTTCCTCTCCGATTTTGGGTTTATCTCTACCAACAAACAAGAGACCAGGAGATAGAATATAAAATTCTTCCTCTCCGATTCTGGGTTCATCTCTACCAACAAACAAGAGACCAGGAGATAGAATATAAAATTCTTCCTCTCCGATTCTGGGTTCATCTCTACCAACAAAAAAGAGACCAGGAGATAGAATATAAAATTCTTCCTCTTCATCATCGGGTTCATCTCTACCAACAAAAAAGAGACCATATTACTCCAATAGGTACACGAGTCTAAACTGTTTCCCTACCATCAACAGGAAGTTTCTGGAGAATATCACTCAGAATATTCTTAAGAATAACCTGAATACTCCAAATAGGTAATAGAATATAAAATTCTTCCTCTCCGATTTCGGGTTTATCTCTACCAACAAAAAAGAGACCATATTACTCCAATAGGTACACGAGTCTAAACTGTTTCCCTACCATCAACAGGAAGTTTCTGGAGAATATTACTCAGAATATTCTTAAGAATAACCTGATTATCTCCCAACGGGTATATGAGGTTAAACTGTTTCCCGAACACTCCAATAGAGCATATGAGTATAAACTATTTCTCCATTTTTCAACAACAGTTCTGATTCAAGACTTCGACAACGGCCACACGATAAACGCAGTACCGGAGGAATTTTAGCTATTCTACAAAGCACTGAGTAGACTAAAAGATAAAGAAGTCAAGGATTGAAGCCATTCACAGATCATTCTACGCAACTTCTTCAACAAAGCACTGGAGAAATTATAAGGAAAGCTTATCATATCCAAAGTGTCCCAGACTCCTCTCTAAAATAAATGATGAGTCTGAGATACTTTGGAGGGGGTATCTGTAGACGTCAAAAAATGCTTACAGATATTCAAACACCACTCAAGACGACATAGAAGAACAATATACATGTCATCAAGCAACACATGACGGCGCGGCAGGACATGGTGCCGTGGCTAAGGCGCGGCAGACCAAGGTGCCGCGGCTAAGGCGTGGCAGCCTATGGTGTCGCGGCTTAACCGCTGCAACCTATGGTGCCGCGGCAGTTAAAGAAGGATGCTGTGGCAGTTATAAGGATAGGGCGTGCTATGGTGGTTACAAGGCAGTTATATGATGATTATTTGAAGTCCACGTGGCGGCATATCAGAGATAGAACGTGTGCTGACGTGGATAGGCAGTTAAACCACGAAAAAGGTGGTTAAAGGTCGTGGGAGAACTGTTTCAAACACGTATGAACGTGGGTGTAACTGCCCCTTTAGCCGCGGCAGTGTCGACTGCCGCGCCCTTTGGCCGCGACATTGTCGACTGTCGCGCCCTTTAGCCGCGACAGCATCAACTGCCGCGCCTAAAGAGGCAGTTGTTGATCGGCTATTTCTTCAGTTATCGTCTAAGGAGGCTATAAATACCCCCCTATGGCCATCATTGACGAGAGAGAGCATTTTGGAGCAGAAGAGGCTTAAGCTTTTGGTGAATTAGAGCAAAAGAGAGAGTCTTCCTTCTTCACAAACATCTTCAAGAAGCTTTTGGCGATTCCTAGAGATCTAAGCTCTGACTTGATCTTTAGAAGAGTGAACATCTTACATCGATAAGATATTCGCTTCAAATTCTTACTTCGATAAACGAAGGAAGAATCATTAAACCCCTCACGGTTCAATCAGAATCTGTGATTTTGTGGTCCACGAGTCAAAGCGCTCCCGGCACAGGCAAAGATCCCACGCAAGCAGCGATCCAAACAACGATCCTGTGTTTGTTTCTAAAAAGTTGTAATTTTCCTTTTGTTGTGTAAAAGAAGTCTTATAAAAAGACTATCTCTTTTGAATTTGTTGTAATCGACCGAAGATATAATGAATTCCATAACAAAACCAACTTTTGACGCAAACAGTTATACTCTCATGTCACTGAACAACTTGATCATTTCCACACCGTTATTCCTGCAAATGACATTATTCATTGATATTGGCCTACCATGCGATGTGCCTCTATCCTAATCACAGTCGTCATACTTTCATGTCATTGAACGGCTTGATTGCCTTCGCACCGTCATCCCAACAAATAACATTATGCATTGATAGTGACCTACCAAGAGATGAGCCCCTATCTTTCCCCTTATTTTCAAATAGTGACCTACCAAGTGATGGGTTACTATTCATCAACGATATCACCACACCCCAACAAGCCTACCATGCGATGAGCCTCACTTTCAAAACACCAGATTGAGTTGTTATAATGAACGACACAACCAAACTCGATTACAACTTAACCGTTGTAATCATGTTCAAACACTTAATCCAACTTCTCGAATGGCTAAGGATAGAGGAGAAATCTTAGCATTGAGCTTAATGGAAACTCCTCGACAACGTACCATGCTAAGGGTAAAAGCATAGCTAGTCCAACTCAAATGACAGTTGGTAAAGACAAATCAAGTCCGTTGATAGCTGATGATTTGCTAAAAATCCTAGATGGTGATAATGAGCTACATCTGAAGAGCTCAACTTAACCAAAGTGATCGAGTTCATCAGTAAGGTGTCTAACTTCGCCTAAACCAATGAACGATGAGCATTTTTTATTCAAAGTATTCCAGACCCCATGCAACCTGATTTGGGTATGAAAACTTTGAAAGGGATTTTATAGGCAAATAAAATTGTCTTTATCCCAAATTTTAAGAGTTCGCCTGTAGAACTTCGCCTGAACATCCAAGCTCGTAGGAACAAAGCTCGTTTTACTTATTCGCCTGCATCAAATAGGCCAAGTCAAGCTCGCCTAAATGCTTAACTTCACAGGCGAAGCGAAGTTCGCCTAAGCACTGGACTTCACCAAGTTAGCTAAGCTCACCTGAATGCTTAGTTCGCCAGCTCGCAAGTTAGCTAAGCTCATCTGAATGCTCCGCTCGCACGAGTCAAGCTCGCCCGTAGGAGGTTCGCCCGCATGATCCAAGCTCGCCAACAGGGTTTAAGCTCTCCTGAACGCTTAAGGGGTTCACCTGTCAACCTCGCCTGTTCACCTAGCTCGCCTGCAAGCTCGCCATGCTTGCCAACTTCTCTTGCAAGATCGCCAGGCACGCTAACTTCGCCTGCAAGCTCGCTAGGCTTTCTAACTTCGCCTGCAAGCTCGCCAAGCTCGCTTGAGCGGTTAAAAACTACTTACTTGAATTGTGAGAGTGATTACGCCCACTTCCCACGTTTTAAAGGGGTAGTTATGATCTTTCTCTGCTATAAATAGCCATATTCGGCTATAGAAAAGGAGGGCATTGGACGGAGCATTAAATCTCCTTTGTGCATTCGGCTTTCAAGCACCTTAGCTTGGGTATTCAAACTCTGATAAATCTTCTACCACGCGACGAAGCTTATTGACAGTATTGTTCGAATCCTCAGGAGAAGAGGACCGAACTTTGAGATCTCAGCATACTCGGCCTACAAGCAATCAAGCACTTTTTTGGCCTTCGAACTCATCCAACCAAACTTCTACCACACGCTGAAGTTTGTCCGCAACCTCGTTCGAATCGTCAAAGGGAAGCAAACTCGACACGAGCATCGAGGGAGGCATCCTATCGCCCCAAAGAACCCACGTTAAACAAAGAAATATCGAATCAATTTTCTCTGTTTCTGTGTAAAAGTCGATTTCGATTGTAACACACAATCAATCAATACAAATTTTAAGATCTATTTTACGAAAAGATGGATACTGTAGAATTAATTTACTGGGGATTGCAAAGGCCCTGATCATTTGCTCAGGAGGGGGGGGGGGGGGGAGGCATGATAGTTGAGAGTGCTTTGGATTGCCAAACTCTACCTCTATGTTTGGGATGTTTGGGATTTACTAATTGAGGTGAAGGTAAAGAAAGGGAGGGAAAATAGGTGAGGGAGGGAAAGAATTAGAAAGAGATGAAAAAAATATAGAAAAATAGGACTAGGGTAGGGGGAAAAAGAGATGAGAAAAGTATAGAGTTATGTTTGGATGTTTAGTAAAAGAAATAGAGGGGAATCATTTCTTTGCTATTGGATTCATCGTGAGGATTCAAATTTTTTCCCTCCATTACATTCCATTACATATCGTGAGGAGATTCATATTCGTGAATCCAATGGCTAAGAAATTGAGTTTGGTACCAAGTTCCTCCGGCCATATTACACACACGCATATATCAAATTTGATATGAAATACATACTCAAATATTGCTAATAAAAATCATATATATATATATATATATATATATATATATATATATATATATATATATATATGGGAGAAGTGTTCCTAAGGTGACGCTTTAGATAATCATCTAAGGACGGGGCCTAAAATCACATGATTAAGTTACATTATGGATGATCCGTTCCGTTGAACTTGATCTACATATTCTAAAACCCACAACACATCAAATTTGGGGTGAACCCGTCGTCGTTTGTATATATATATATAATTTGATGTGAAATACATACTCAAATATTGCTAATAAATTTATTGTACCATGCAATGTTTGTTATGTATTTGTGCTTTGATTTGAAAGAACTGCATCCTCCATTTTCTTCTTCTTCTTCTTGTTTTCTAGATACTCTCCGTAGGAGTAGGAAGCCAAACCCCAGAGGGACAAAACAAGAGCAACACCTTTTTCACTGCTGAACTTCTCATGGAAGAGTATGACACCCAAAACCTCGACCATCGGGATGAACACTGCGATGAGTATCCCGGCCAGCAATGTGTTGACACAGAAGATAACTCCGACCGCACCGAGAAAAAAACACTGCCAGAAGAGCACGGACCAGACGATCACCAAGTAGTACTTGGTCTCTCCTAGTCCGTAGTTCTTTGCTTCTCTTGAAATTGCCTGCAATTATTACTATAGTCATTACTTAGTGGGTAGTAAACTCCATTTTGAAAAATAGACTCTAAATGGACTCAATAGCTCAGTGACACGAGATTTTAGATTCTCTGTACTTTCAAAAAATAATGGATAGATCGATACTAATTTAATTTTAACTGTTAATTACTTAAAGAATGGCTGTCAACGATCATGATTCAAAAATTGGGCCGAGATTTAATTCAATTTCGACGGTGGATTAGTTAAAGGATGGTTGTCATCTGTTAAATTATGAATTTTCGTTCCAAATATAATATTATCGCACTCATTCCTATTTACCATCTATTTAGGACCCGTTTTGTGTTGATATTTTTAGGTAGCTTCTATTTTTTTTAAAGAAGCGTGTGATAATAATGTTTGGAAAAAAATTAGTATGCTTATTAAAATTAACTACTACTGCTTTTAGGGTGTACTTTTAAAAATAATCTGGGGATGCTTTTAAAAGTAGCTTTTGTTTTTGTTTTCCTCCAGTTCATGCCATATATAACCTTTAAGCTTTTAACAATGCCTTTTATTATTAATAAATATAAAATTAATATCTATGTGCATCATTAATAATAATCAAGTACAATTTTAGCAAACACATTAACTGCTTTTTGAGCAGCTTTTGATTTATCAAATGACTATTTTCAGCATCTTATACAAGTTACTTATATAAGCTACTTATATAAGTAAATTATTATGAGCTTAATCAGTATCAATTGCCCTTAGTTAAATGCAAGAAATATAAAGGATATAGTATGTATTTACATCTAGGGTGCACGTAATGACAATCATCATTAAGTATTAAGTAATAGATGATTATTTGGTCAAAATAGTGGTATATTTACTTATTTTATACGGTGAAGAGGACCCAAATTCATCTTAGCTCGGACGATAATAAAAAAGAAAAATTTGTGGACTAGTATACTAATTTTACTCAAGGATCACTGAAAAGCTACTCTATTATCCGACAATGATTCGGTGGATACAATATATGAAGAGTTATATAGGAAGTGGAGTTCATAAATATAATGCATTTCCCTTGTTATAATCATATAAATTAGATGATCTATTTTATAGTTTTCGCGAAAAAGAAAAAAATTGTTGCCCAAACAAAAGAATAATAATATAAAAAAAGAAGCAGCAGGAAAGATCCGAGAAATGTCATTGTCTACATAGATAACATACACAGGTATGAATAGTGCGCTAGTTGAATAACATCCGTAGGTATGAATAGCGCGCTAGTTGAAGTATGGAATCAAATGCATGCGATGAGTAACATGGAATTGTCCATGACTTCTTGTACGTGATACCAGGCTTTAAGGATGTGACTATTGAAACATGATTACGCTAATATGGATTTGGATCTTCTCCACTACAAAAAAGTAGTGCAGAGACCACTATTTTTAATCTCAAGCGTTGATTATTTAGTAGGCGGTTATGATACAATCTAAATCTAACACTTACCATACTCCCGTGTATTGCACTCATTTATAATTTGCACTAAAAGAAAAAAGCATAACCATCAACTAGATAATCAATGGCTGTGATTATGTAGTGGTCCCTCCACTATTTTTTTTATAGTGGAGATGATCCGAATCCCGCTAATATTTGTTGCTTGAAAGGAAATAGATGGAAAAATTGTGTCTAGGCCCCGAAATTAGAACCCCATTGTGACCCAGTACTCATGTTTTTGAGGCATATATTTAGGCCCATGGACCCAACTTTTCATGTAAAAAAAAGCCCTCCTTAACTATATTTATCTCCCATCCTTATATTACCATTTATCTTCTTCCTCATCTCCCTCTTCTTCTTCTTATACTAAAAACATGCACCTTCTTCTCCTCCTCTTCTCTATATCGCCTCCACCATTCTCCTCCATTCTATTTCCATCCTCTTCTTTCCATTACCCATCATCCTCTCTTCTTTATCAAGCTTCCTTCTCCTCCCTCGTCTCCCCTACATGTCAACTACATTCTCGTCTTTTTCCTCCCTTTTCCTCCTCCAACCTCCTTTTTCCTCTCTTTTTTCACCTTTCTCTTTCCTCCAATCTCATCCGTCGCACCTTCGCTTTCCTCCCCTCCCATCCCCCACATTTTCCATTCCACTTCCACAATTCTCTGTCCTCCTCCTTCTTTATCTCCATATTCTTCTCAATCCACAACTATCACTATATCATCCAAAGGTCATTTTTAGGCTCAAAACGTGCATCTCATAAAGTCACATCAAAACTAACCATTTCATTTAAAGTTAACATCTAATGATTAAAGTTAACATTATTTAAAGTTAACATCTAATGATTAAAATTAACATGTGAGATCTAAAGTTAACATGTGAGTTATAAAAAATTATCATCTAACTTTAGAAATCAATATAAACGCTTTGATATTATCAGATATTAACTTCATCATATGTTAACTTTAGACCTCACATGGTAGCTTTAATTATTAGTTGTTAACTTTAGACATTTCATGTCAAATTTGGGCCTCACAGGTTCACTTTAAATGTTAGATATTAAATACAAATTTTAGATGTTAACTTAACTGTTAAGTATTAACTTCATCGTGACTTTAGGAGATGATTGTTTTAGCCAAAAGAGATAGAATTTTGAGTGATGTAACAATAGTTGTAGGAGAAGAAAGAATAAAAATGATAAAGGAGAGGTGTGATGGCGAAAAAGATAATAATTGAGAAATGATAAGAGAAGAGAAGGGGGATGTAATGACAGAGGTAATGATACAAAAAATGTTGGTTAAGGATGAGGAGGAGAAGGAGGAGAAATTATTCGTAGGTTCATGAGAAAAATTATTAATGTGTTAAGGAGGAGGAGAAGGAGAAAAAATTATTCATGTGTTCATGAGAAAAATACAAAGAGATGACAGGTTGGGGTGGAGGGGGAAAAATTGTTTTCAAATGTTCTAATTTCGGGGTCTGGGCACAATTTTTCTAATAAATTAACATGTATATATGTGAAATTATAATAGAAAAACGAGGATCCAATTTTATTGTAGATGGTCATTATCGAACCAACGAAAAGGGTCCAAATGACCAAAGACTAGTCAGCTCAAGGGTGTTCACACATATATATGTTATTAATAATGCACGTCTGTTTCCGGTATTAATTGTCATTTCCCTTTTGCTCCCCAAGTGCTGCTAATGATCCAAATCTCGACTAGAAAAAGAAAAAAAGATTCCAATATATTCGGCCGTCTTTGCGGGTTTTATCTACGCTAGAAACAATTGAAAGAGTACAGCAAGAAGCAACAGATGCGGACTTTTCCAACAATTCAAATAAACAAATACTTAATTAATCATCATAATAAAGTCTGTGAAAGACTAAAACGTCATCCTATAAAAAGTATTCGCAAGTACTTTGGATCAACCTAGCTAGGGGAAAAAAGCTCTTGGTACAGCTCATACGTAACCTAATGACATATATTTTTTTAATATTTTTTTTATAAGAACGTGGATAAACAATTTCCCATATTGTCTCAATTATGAGAATTATATAAAGCGTAGATACAAAAGATGATGCTCTCCTTGTAAAAGCACTGCGTGCAAAGTAGTGGTTCGCCTAATCTTTATTACATCTATCCATTAATTTCCGCAGGATATAATTTTTTTAATGTTGATACTTTGAAACTCTATTTTGATAATTTGATATCCCAAACTGTTAAAAAAAATGGACATTAATTTTGTTCAAGAATATCAATACTGAAAAGTGAGTGATCAAGGAACATATTTTCTTACTAAATTTCATATCTATAAGTTTGTGAAAAGTGAAATACAAAGTTAATTAGAGCTTGGGATATTAATCAGCTAAATTACGAGATTGATATTAAAACTAGTACCTAATTGACGTCAGTTTGTAAATTTGAGGTGTCTAATTGCGACGGCAGAACTTCCTGTATCGAAGTTTTTTTTAAAGGTCGGAACCTAGCTAGGGATATTAGATTGAAAATAACACTATAATTAGATTTACCCTTAATTAATTGACTAGCTAGGTTAGTTTTAATATGACACTAACCTGAAAATCTTCGTTAACGATCATTCCAACGGCACAAAAGGCCGTCGCAAAAAACCCCATGATGAGCTGCATCTCCATCACCAACGTGTAGGTTATCTCCTGCCTCGCCTTCTTGTACATCAGCTCAATCAGCGGCAAAATCAACCCGTACAACGCCGCGGCTCCCAACGTCAACACGAACCCGAAGTAGTAGTTCCTCTTCGACACTCCCTCGGGCCTGTCCCCGCTCGAGTGCAGCCCCAGCAGCGCCGCCCCCACCGTCAGCAGCGCCACCGAGTTTATCGAGAACGCCGTAAACCTTAACGTTATATATCACAGAAGGGGAAAATCAGTTAGCGGGCGAAGATACCACACTTTCAAGGAGCACACAAAAAAAAAAAAAGATTCATATTTTTCTGAAACTTGAAATACAAAAGTTGGTAAATTGCACTAAACCTCCTTGAGAGCTTTCAATGTTATGTGATAAAGCCTCGATAGTTATAAAATCGCGCTAAACCCAAGGGGACATAAGTGGCAGATCCCGATACTAAAGGGGTCTATGTGCAATTTACCCTTGTTTAAATAACTAACAGTACATATAATTTGAAACTTAACCCGGGTTTTTTTTACATTAATAAAAAAAAACGAAAACCCCCTCAAAAAAAACATGCAGCAAACCTTTGCCTCACAATCAAGAACGCGAACAGCGCCGTGAACGCGAGCTGCGTAGAGATCAACAACGCCGACGTAGAAACCGGGAGGAAGGAGAGGCCGTAGGCGTAGAGGAAGTCGTCGAGTCCGGTTGAAAGTCCGATGGCCGCGGACGCCGCGAAGATCCTCCAATCTGCGAGGATGGCTTTCGCGGCGGGGTCACGCGGCCGGCGGTGGAGGAAGGAGAGGGAGAGGGGGAGGAGGACGACGGGGAATCGGCGGTCTCGAGGAAGCTGGAGAGCCAGTAGCGGGTCGCGCGTGGTCGAAGTAGAGGCGCGGAGACCAAGGGCCGCGACCGGTGTTTGGCCGAGAGCCATGAGGATGATGTTGATAATGACGACGGCGAGCTTGAGGTTCTTGCTTAGTTTGGGTTTGGGTTGGGTTGGTTTGTTGGTTTGGGACTCGACTTCCATTTTTTTTTTCCTTCAATGAATTGAGAGGGTTGAGGAGTTTGGAGGTTTGCTTACACCGTGCAGATGAATTTTGGGTTATGATGCCGTAGGATATATAAGTTTTGTTTGGAGCATGTCTTTTTCTGGACGATGAGTTATTTAATTGATCCGATCGATTCCCCTACAGCTATCCAAGATGAATCCTACAAAAAAAATGCAGTACAATGTTTAAAATAAGGCTAAATATCACTATTGGTATTTTAATTCTATCCTATTTATCAAAAAGTTATTTTAATTAGTCAAACCTGCTTTAAGGTATTTTAATTGATTCAACTTACCAACAATGCTTTTTTTCTCGTCGGCGACCAGTTTTCCGACGAGAGCTCATCACGTGCGTGGCACGTGATGACTTCAACTGTTTTTTAGCTACTGATATGGCACGAATTTTCTAACGTGGCAGTGTTTAAAGGCGGGATTTAACCCTCTAAAAATCCCAATTCACCCAAAATACGACAAATATGTGTCACATTAGCACCTAAAAACAATTTAAGTCATCACGTGCCACGCACGTGACGAGCTCTCGTCGGAAAACTGGTCGCCGATGAGAAAAATGGCCTTGTTGGTAAGTTGAATCAATTAAAATGTCTTAAAGCATGTTTGCCTAATTAAAATACATTCTTGATAAATGGGGTGGAATTAAAATACCAATATGGGTATTTAACCTTTAAAATAACGATAACAGAATAATGCTTTATTTCCTATTAACGATTAAAAAAGGAAAAAATGGCCATTACATAGGTTATTTTTTAGAACAAATTTTCAAAACAGCCCCAAAAAGATTTTTATTTTTCAAAATCAGCCTGATTTTTATTTATTTATCAAAATCGACCCACTTTTTGCCACGTGGGCTTAATGAAGTTCCTAAACAGTCGTGGTTGGCAATCCTGACTGTTTAGGATGGTGTTAAACCCTAATTAGAACCATTAAACCCGAAATTTTTATATCCTAAACAGTCGGGGTTGGCAACCCCGACTGTTTAGGAACGTCATTAAGCCCACGTGGTAAAAAGTGGGCCTATTTTGATAAATAAAAAAATCAGGTCGATTTTGAAAAATAAAAATCTTTTTGAGGCTGTTTTGAATAATTCCTCTTATTTTTTATTATTTATTTACATGATTTGAATTTAATAATTATAATTATTGAAAATTCCAAATATAACATCATGATTAGGGGGGAAACACTTTCTTACTGTTTAATTTGACAAAATGTAAAAGATACTCATAATAATTATAAGAATAGGAACAATATATCATAATAATAAAAATCTTTTAATTTAATACAAGCTATATAGATTTACCAGGAAATATCACAATTGAATACTTAAATATATAACATAAATTTATAACGTATTCAAAATTGCATTCATTTTATTTGCCATATCCATAGTTTCGCAACCACATTATGATGTCACCAAAACAAAACTTGAAAGCTTCACAAACAATTCAAAAGAATATACCTAACTATTTCGAGTTTTAATAAAAGATAAGACTCTCACCTCTAGAACTTATATTGAAATAACATAAGTTATATTAAAACAACGCATATTATATTGTAATAACAAAGAGCTATGATGTGTCTAAGTTATGTCGTAAGGTGACGTAACATTTAGAGCCTGTTAGGTTACAAGATGCAATATAACGAGTTATGTTTACGGGCTTTTCTCAATAATGATGTAGAATTTTTATTATGCCATAGACTAGTACGTGTCTCGGTACACGCGATGCGATTCATTCATAACATAACTTGGAGGAGCGTTTTAGTTGAATTGTCAAGAGAATTGATGATCTCTTATGTTGGGCGCAGAGTCACGCCCACCGCCGTGGAAACGGTATGTCCTGAGAGAGCCCTGACTTTTGTTTTCACAAAAGTACAAGTCAAACTCGATATCTGTGTTTCGTTTTGTTTTCACAAAAGTACAAGTCAAACTCGATATCTGTGTTTCGCGAAGGAAACCCAGACTCAGTAGCGAAATATCTCTGTTTCGCGAAGGAAACCCAGACTCAGTAGCGAAATATCTCAGCGAAGTGAGATATCCACTCTTCCTCTGATCAGTGCAAGGACTGAACTATCGATGGCACCTGCAAGTAAACAAATAGTTATGACAATACAAAGACGAGATTTGCGTGGTTCGGCTAACTAGCCTACGTCCACGGGAGGGGGTTTCACTATGAAGGAAAAATACCAAACTTATACAAGTTCTCTCTTCCTCTCTTTCTTTTCTCTCAAAAAACTCCACTTGAGATTTTTCCCCACTCAATAACACCTCCACCCCTTCTCTATTTATAGGAAACCAAGGGGAGGGAATGCTAAGAATTTAGGCGGGAGAAGAAAACGCGGGAAAAAAAACAAGCGCGCACGAGGGAGCAGAAAATATCAGCGGGAAGAAAAAAATCCCGCGCGTGGGCAGCCGCCCATGAAATCCCACCCACGTGGGTGGGCCCCCTAGTCTCATGCGTCCACAATTCTCCACCTTGTACATTATTTGATAAACCTCAAATTTTGGACGAATACCAGAAGAACCCCATGAACTCCACCAGAGAGATATCCAGGCCAAACCAGCTGCGTCACTATACCGCGACTGCCTACGTACCCTCCACCGGGATCAAGCTAACTGTAGTTCTGCAATTATTCTCCAACATAGTGTCCACCTCACCTCCATCATCGCCCCGAAGGGCCATGCCCTCTTGGGCATATCAACACGGGCTGATATGAAGCAAGTCCAAGCAATGTTGGAACTTGCTGCCTGTCACTACCTTGGTTAACATGTCTACGGGATTCTCATTCGTATGCACCTTCATGAGAGAAATATATCCTTCCTCTATGACATCCCGCACAAAATGATACCTGACATCGATATGCTTGGTACGAGCATGGTGAACTTGATTCTTCGCCAAGTGAATCGCACTTTGACTGTCGCACCACAGGTTCACGCTCTCCTGCTCTAGAAGACCCCACAGCCACAGTGCTTCCTTTACTCCCTCCGCCATAGCCATGTACTCGGCCTTTGTTGTAGAAAGTGTCACTATAGCCTGCAACATCGATCGCCAACTAACTAGAGCTCCATGTATCCTGAATACATAACCAGTAGTAGATCGCCATCTATCTAGATCGCCCGCATAATCTGAGTCCACATACCCGTCGACCTGACATGTATCTCCACCAAAACACAGACTCGTATCCGCGATACCTTTCAAGTACCTCAGGACCCATTTCATCGCTTCCCAGTGCGCCTTTCCCGGATTCGCCATGAATCTGCTGACTACACTAACCGCCTGTGAAATATCAGGGCGTGTACACACCATTACGTACATTAAACTGCCAATTACACTAGGATAAGAGACACGCTCAATGTGTGCCTTATCTTCCGCTGTAGTGGGAGATTGTTTACATGAAAGCCTAAAGTGTGGAGCCAATGGGGTCACCACCGACTTTGCACTTTGCATCCCGAACCTCGCGATCACCCGCTCTATGTAGCCCTTCTGACTCAAGAACAATCGCCGATTCGCCCGCTCTCTTCTAATCTCCATACCTAGTATTTTCTTTGCAGCGCCCATGTCCTTCATCTCGAACTCTTTGCTGAGTTGAGATTTCAGCTTATCTATCTCCACCTTGTTCTTCGATGCAATAAGCATGTCATCCACATATAAAAGGAGATAAATATAATCACATCCACGAAGCTTCCGAATGTAAACACAACAATCATAGTCGCTTCGGGAAAACTCATGCTTCAGCATGAATGAGTCAAATCGCTTGTACCACTGTCGCGGAGATTGCTTCAATCCGTAAAGTGACTTCCTCAAGTGACATACATGATTCTCCTTGTCCTCAATCTTGTATCCCTCAGGTTGATGCATATAGATCTCTTCATCCAAGTCTCCGTGCAAGAAGGCCGTCTTGACATCGAGTTGTTCCAGCTCAAGATCACCATGAGCAACAATACTCAATAGCACCCGAATAGATGTGTGTTTCACCACCGGAGAAAATATCTCATTATAATCCACACCCTCTCTTTGTGTAAACCCCTTAGCCACTAGCCTCACCTTGTACCTTGTACCACCGAGCTCTGAAGGATCTTCCTTTCTCTTATACACCCACTTACAACCAATGGCTTTTCTTCCTACGGGCAATGGGACCACCTCCCATGTTTGGTTCTTCCGGAGAGATTCCATCTCCTGCTCCATCGCAGCCAACCAACTCTCACTATCCTTGTCTCGAATAGCTTCCTTGAAGGAGACCGGCTCATCTTCCTCCACCGAGAGTACGTACTCAACCAAATTAACATGCCCATAGTGCTTCAGGGGTTGATCAGCCCCCAGCTTCTGTACCTGCTTATCTACTCGCCTTGGCCTAGTGGATGCCAAGCTATCCTCGAGCTGTTGTTATTGTAGTGCCTGTGTATTCTCCTGCTAAACCTCCTCCTGCTTAAGCTCATCATCTACCTGATTTCCCACTTGAAAACGACTAGAACCTGGTTGGTCTTTAGGTTCTATTTCAATAACCTGGAACTCGGGAGTCCCAACAGTCTCAACACCACCATCTTTGGGCACCCTAGCAATCATGGACTTCTCATCAAACGTAACGTCCCTGCTGATCACGAACTTCGAATCTTCTGTACACCAAAGGCGGTAGCCTTTTACGCCCTTTGCATACCCCAAGAAAATTGCCTTCTTGGCCCTCGCGTCAAGCTTTTCCTCGTTGACGTGATAGTAGGCGATACATCCGAAAATCCGGAGCCTCTCATAATCTGCATGCTCCCCTGACCACACCCGATAGGGTGTATCACCGTCCAATGTCGAATGTGGAGATCGATTCACTATATAGCAAGCTATAGCAATCGATTCTGCCCACCATTCTTTGCCCAAACTAGCATATGATCGCATACTCACTGCTTTCTCCCGTAGTGTTCGGTTCAGTCTTTCCGCGATCCCATTCTGCTGTAGTGTAGATCTAACTGTCCAGTGTCTAGCAATGTCCTCCTAATCACAGAACTCCTTGAAGGCACCGTCTGTGT